CATGTGGTACCAGGATCGAACCCTGGTCCCTGTGCTCGCCTAAGCAGGCGCTTAGTCCACTGAGCTATCTCTCTGGCCCTTATCATGTTCTTTAAACTTCCCTTTCTCCTCTTTTGCCTCTGGTTTCTCCTGCAATTGAGCAAAATTATTTATTTTGAAAAATAATAAATCAAACTGGTAATTTAATTAAGGTCTTAAGCTAGCATTTCACTTGAGAGAAGAAGGTATAAAGCAGGAGAGGGAAAAAGGCATGGCAGGATTTCAGGCCTGCTTTTCTGAAGACGTCAGGTGGACATACTTGCGCTCTGGATGGCCTTGCTTGGGCGTCTCAAGTTTACCGTCCCCTACAATGCGAGCGTTAGCCCTGCACACAGTCATGAGCTTTGTGTCTTTATGTTCAAAGAACTTCATTCTCTGAGACCATTACATCCCACAGCTTCTTTTCTGCACGGTAGCTTTTCTCTTTGATCAGTGGCTAGATAAGTAAAGACCCCCAACTGTTAATATTCAATGTTTAATCCTGTCTGCTTGGGGCTTCCATAAGCATTTAATTGACAAATAATGCTCAATAAATATTTAATGGATTAATGAATGATTAATCAGAAGTAGAATATCCTAGTTTCTATATGCCATCAGGACATCTACCATTTAGTTGTATTATTAGATCGGGTTTAACAGCTTGCCCAACCTAGTTTGTTGTCATTGACGTGATGATTATTTTAAATACGGGCAAAATTTTTAGGTCGTTATTGTATACAGAATCCACCTGAAGTGTAGACACAGAGGTGAAAAGGAAATTCTGACTAGAGCCATGTTGTTTCCTAGACATATAATTTATGCCGCTCTTCCATCAAGTCAAGTTCAGCCCCGCATATGAGCTCGTACTAGGTAGGAATGCATCTGAAGAATGAATACATTGATATTCTTGCTTTATTTCAGCAAACTTCAGAAGACAAAGAGGGACATCAGATGGCTGCAAGGAGTGACTGGAGAATGGTTTGAAGAAATTCAAAGAAAAAAGTTTTGCAATGAAACAGATGTTAGTCAAATGTTTAAACAACCACTTATATACAGGCTAAGAGAGGAGATGGCAAAAAATGGTGAGCAAAATTAATTCAGTTTTAATTTTTTTTAACTTGTGGCATAACGAGATAGATGATGGCTCAGGAGATCTTTAATTCAATCAATGTGTAGATTAGAGCAATTGTAAAGCGTAGAAGTTTTATAACATGATATATATACACCACAAAGAGTGAAATGAAATTTTCCTGCAATAATGTCTTTGGGGGTATGTTTTTAGAATCAGAAGAAAATAGGATAGTGCTTAAAAATGTAAATATGGACTCCAGAAAAAAAAGGCCTGGTTTCAAATCTCTATAGTCGGTCTGTATGTACATGAGTCTATTTACATTATTGACTCTCTATAAACTTCAGTTTTCTGATATCTAAATAAAATATAATATCTATCACATAGCACGATTCTGAGAATTAAATAAAATGATGCGTATGAAACATTAACCTGGAACGTAGTAATTTAAAACAATAAAATAATTTTTTTATTTATTGTCATACTGACTGTTTTTGCATATACTACTAATAGTAATCTAATGAAACATCTAACAATATTTCAAAATGTATCACATTGGCAATCTTGTGCAACTCCAATACTAGACTATCTAAAAAGACTCAGTAGTTCAGATTTTTAGTTTTGTTGGGTTTTTTTTTGTTGTTGTTTTTGTTGTTTTTTT